ACACCCGCTGTGCCATAACCTTCTCAGAAAGAAATCACCGTACAAACTATGGTTTCAATACATTCATCTCCAGAACTTCTCGATTATGTAACACCCATGGTAGCCTGGATTTTTTTGGACCCATAAATAGCTTTAAAAGAGAGCTTAACTCTCTAATGTAATTCTCCTCGTTTATTTGTGATACCAAGTTCGATAGCTAAGAATTTCTAGTCATCTTGATCAGTCATTATTTATGTTTGTCCTCTATTTTCTTATACCTATAACTGATTTAATGTTTTACTGTTAATAATTTATATGTATTTTTATCCTGTTACTACGCCAAGTATTACTGGCCTATGTTTATTTAGTTGTAAGGTACTTAATGTTTCTTGTTGTTTTTTTTTCTTTTGAAACTTTTAATGGGTCTTGCCCGTAAATAAATAAATAAATAAATAAATAAATAAAATTGTGCATATTAATAAATATATTAGATTAAATAGAGATAAGTAACTTACAATACTGTACAGCAAATTCAGTAAACTATAAACTCAGTAGGAAAAAACTAGCGTATAGTTTATCGCTTCAGCGTATAAACAATTAAAAAACCCAAATTTCAATAACGCAAACAAAAATAAAGACCAGTCAGCTGACAAGTCTGACGAAATTGCGCATGAGCAGCCGAACCGAACTTTTAGTCCTAACAAAAATCCTGGGATTGCTAGAACCGATTCCGAATCAATTAAAACCAATTCTATGTGATCCGCGAACGTAGAACTGTTACTAAAAATTCAGAATTTTATTATCCGCGAACGCAATTTTTTACACTGCGCATGCGAATAGTCCCTAAACCGATTCGGAATCGGACCCGCGAACAAAGCTAGCATGCGAGGACTCGTCGATTCGCAAATGCAGTCAAAGTCAGCTGTAAAAGGGACAAGAAATGAAAATAATCGAAATCAAATATTCTCTGATATGTTGGTGTTGCGGAAATAACCCACAACAAGTTTAAAATGTTATTATTTGTAGTTTATCAATATAATCTCAATTTCTATTATTTATCATAAAAATAATATTCTAAAAAAAGAATCCTGTAAAACTGGCAACAGCAGCCCTTTTGAATCGGTAAAATTACAGATTTCTTCATTACCCTATGAGCAATGGATCTATTTTGTTGTTGTGATTGGTCAGTTGCCACCCAACATCCCTGATTTATGCGACCTGCTCCGAAAAAGGCAGTCGACTCGACGCACGGTACACAACAGTAGTAATCAAGAAGCAGAAGAGTAAGCAAAGACTCTGCACCCTCTCGCCTCTGAACGCTCTACAGAGGAAAAATCCCCCAGAAAACCCCCGTTAGTACGCGAATTATAGTAAAATACTACTCCCAGTGTCTCAAGGCCTGACATGGTCTATATTATCAACGATATTATTGATTACAATTCATGTAATTAACCCCTAAATTGTTGCAAGTCATCTCGGACCTAGCAAAATTCTCTACTACGCCTGTTTAAGGTTATTCCTGTCTCACTCTCGACAGGCTTCAACTCTGTATATCATTGTGTTCTCTCTCTTAGTGGAAAATCCCTTAGCTGACAGTGCAAATTACTACGAATAGTGATAAATGGATAAATAATCACTATATGGATTTACCGGTATGAACTGGATTAAGCAAGTAAGACCGTTTCAATTTCTCAAAACAGTCGAACAATAAATTAATAAATACTGAATACTGATTCGGTTGAAATGCACTATAAATTGAAGTGTTTGTTCTAACCTTTAATACAGAAATTTGGTTTTCACACTCGTGAAATGAACATTAATTTGTAAATTTGTATATAGAAACTGAGCATATATATATAGACTTTTCTTGCACTTATTGTTTACACACTTCAGCAGAAAAGTGCTCAAATTATTAACTCTCAATAAACAAAAGAACTTTCAAGGATTATAAACATTTTGTGAATACAGTGAGCTGATTGAAGTTCACGAATTATTTGTGTTGTGCTCTCGTAAATCTAATTAGTTAATTTGTGTTCTCGTTCATTGAACATTTAACCATAATTGATATTATTATTATGAAATTTCAATATTTTCATAAATCAAGATACTTATTTACTCGCTTATTTACTTTAGATTAGTATAAAATTTGTAGTTCGACTGGACGTCCAAATAGGAATTGTTGGATAGGATTTGATTGCTGATTAAACCGAATTAACTTCATTTATTAATTAAATTGATAACTATTCTATTTCAGCGTTTTATTTGTATAAATGAGAATCAAGGCACCCCTAGTTCAATACAAGGCTTAAATGATCCAACACCTAATGGTTAATTTTTACAGTCAGTCAAAGTAAAAACTTTTGACATCCCTGGTGCGGTAATGACTAGAGTCCACAAAAGGGTAATAGCTAGTTCCGTCACAGTTGGGTTGTGTTTATATACTTTCTTCCAAAAATGCAAAGTATACAATATACCAAAAAAAAAAAAAATGCAACATTCATCAGTAAATTATTAAAAATACTACCTATTCTTTTGCCTTAAAATCATACTGTACCTACCATTTTATTAAAAATTTATAACTTTATTTTAGTCATTAAAGATCTCAAAAATCAATGTACAAATCAATAGTCGTTTACCCTCGAAATAGGCCTATTTTCCCGGTGTACAGTTATCCCGATGTTAAATTAGGCGTAAAGTAGTGTACTTAAAGTGCAAAGTTATACAAGGATGGATAAATCAGGTAATAATAATTGTAATAAGCAAAAATAAAACAACAAATTTCTTAAAGGTTATTATAGGCCTCTATCATAGAATAATATACGACGGATAGAAGCGTAAAGTTTACGGAGTGTTTTTTACCTATAGGCGGCGCTGCTCTCCGAATTTATTTCGAATTTATTTCGCTTTCCGTGGAGGTATTAGAGAGTTATTGGACGTGCAATAAGGACAAGCAGTATTTAAATTAGCCTTATTTTGACATCTACGCATGCGCATTTGGGTCCGAAAATAAGGATTCCCTTAATAAGGTTACTGCTTGTCTTTATTTATGTATGGTTAGTGCGAGGCAGTAAACTTCCCTTATTTCAAATTTCTGACATTTTGGACGAGTTTGACGTTTCGCTTTTCGATGATGACGTAATTTTACTTGGAAAATTTATTTTTTACAATAGTTTTCCATTTTACTGTGGGTAACATCAAAACATGGGTATCAGCAGAAAATCACAAACAAAAATAAACACTTTTTGAGGCTGAAATTTATAAACATAGTTATCAGCTGTCAAAATTATGAATACAAAATAAGGTAATACTCTAACACCTACTGCAGTCTTCCAATAACTGTTTTTTTCTTGGAAAAATAGTGCTGATGCACTAATAAAATAACGTAGATCCTTAATACTGCGAGCATATTTAAGTTTAAAAAAATTGATTCTACTATTTAATTCATAGACTGAAAACGCGGCAAAAATGTTCAAAAATTTTTTTTCAAGGTATAACTACATGAAACCTTTACAAAACGATGGAATAGGTCCATGGTTATCTGAAATGGCCAATTACAACATTTTTTTATTAGTTCCAACAATTTTTATATCGAAAAATGTCATAGATTTTTCAAAATTCAGTTTTCATACTTTTTCACACATACGTCGCGATATCTCCGGAACTAATTGAGATAATTTCATTAATAGCCCAGGATAATTAGCCAATTATGAGCCAAAATTTCTTAAAACAAAATATGTACAGTGACCGCCAAAAAGTTTGCAACAAATGGGAAAATATTTTATTATTAAAATATCAAAAATAATGTTACGTGGGATCAATTCAGCATACCTATCAACAAAAAAAAGCACTGTGATAGATGTCATGTGACCATAGTTATGGCGGGAAATTTAAAAAGTTCGCCTCAAATATGTAAAAAGTGGGGTTAGATGACCAGAAATCGAAAAATAGTAGAGAGAAAAGTGGTTCAGAATTCGATTTTACGTCTATGTGTCAATTTTTGAAAAGGTACAAGGATTTTTAATAAATATCAATTGTTTGGTCTGTTTTCTGGTAATTTGGAGAATATTGAAAACTTTTCGGAAAAATATTGGTTTAATTGAATTTAAAAAAGAGGTATTGGATCATTTAGAAAGATTTTATGATAATTCCAAATTTGTTATTCCAAATTTCTGCTTTCTGTAGGTCATTGCAACAAGATCAGAGTGGTCTGAAAATGAATTTTTGGGTTTTTACAATTTTCCGCGGGACAATATTAAGCAGAATGATTGCACTGGATTTTTTTTTGGTTAGTTTCTTTTTGAATTATGTGAACCAAGTAAAAAGTTTTTGATATTTTTTAAATTACCAGGAAACAGGCCAAAAAATTGATATTTATTAAAAATCCTTGTACCTTTTTAAAAATTCACACATAGCCGTAAAATCGAATCCTGAACCACTTTTCTCTCTACAATTTCTCGATTTCTGGTCATCTAACCCCACTTTTCACATATTTGAGGAGAACTTTTTAAATTTCCCGCCATAACTGTGGTCACATGACATCTGTCACAGTACTTTTTTTTGTTGATGGGTATGCTGAATCGATCCCACGTAACATTCTCTTTGATATCTTAATAATAAAATATTTTCCCATTTGTTGCAAACTTTTTGGCGGTCACTGTATAAAGCTAAAAGTTGGTGGTGGGGCTGCAGGACGTTTTTGGTGTCCTTGTGTACGTATCAAACCCCAAACACGTCAAAATCGAGATATTTAAGAAAATCTACGTAGGTACCTATATTTCTTCGGATAATTCCTATGCATAGCATAGAAGGACCTACGTAATTTGATAGGCTATATCTGCTATCACAGACGTACGATCCTCTTTACCTTTAAAATATTGTAATTTGGTTGAAATTTACGGGGGGCCTATTTTCAATGTTAATCGTGCCTCTTTCTTTATGTGATAGGAAAATTTTATCAGTTGTGTGATTTTCTAGAAAATAATGATGAATGTTAGTACGATATAAAAGAATTGATGTCAGTAATGAATGAAAAATCCCTTGACGGAGAAGTTTATTCTGAAGAATATGTTAAAATGAAACTTAAGGCTCATTATGGTGATTCCATTCCATCAAAAAGTGGAAAATGGACAGTATGTTCCCGGGGTACAGCTTCTCGTAGCCTAAATGATGAGTGGTATGGGGACAAAGTTAAAAATAGTACAGACGAACGAATGCGAATCGTTAAAGCTGCCGCGATTATAATCAAAGTTGCCTGTGAATATGATAACTACCCTAGCGTTGAATAAAGGTTATATTGCTATCCCGGACAGTTTGCCTTCAGAACCTTGTTTTGTAATAGATGGTGGTTATCTTCTGCTTAGAGTAGTTTGACCAAAACCTGGTTCGTTTTCCCAAATAGGTACATATGTGATAGTCTATATTAAAAGACACTATGGCCTTGAAAGTACTATTGTATTTGATGGTTACAATGAAAGGGAATATGGTACGAAGAATGCAGAACATATTAGAAAAACAAATAGGGCTAAGAGATCTGTAGATATTAAGACAAAAGGTTTCTAAATTCAATGATACCAATGCAACCAAAAAAAATATTGCTCAAGCCGGAGAGTATTTCTTAAAATTATTATATAACGGTCGTGTTTCTTCAGATAACTTAAGCAAAACCAGATTTAACTGTTAAGGGTTATAGCTAAACAACCCGTTTTTGGAAAGTTTAATCTTTCGGTATTACCACCAACATCTGGAATAACAAAACAACACTGCTACAGAGTTTTTCATCAAGTTCAGTCTTGGCGAGGGGTAGAACTTTCTGCTATTGATTGAGGATGGAAGAAGAGAAAGGGACAACTGGTACCAATTCCTGCACCCTACACTTGACCCTTTGAGCCCCGAAAATTTATTGAAGTTGGTATTTTGTAATTTGTGCCCAAAGATGTGACTGTCGCCGACGGGGACTGTACCGCCATGTGTAGAAAATATAATGGTGAATAATGCAGCTACAGACCTCCCATGCTAAGTGACGAAGAAGAACAGTCTGAGCTATAGGAATATGCTCCTTCGCAGCATTACAACGGAATTTTTTTTCATTCTAGGTTAAAGATCGGATAGCTTCAGACCAGCAAAATGGTGGCGGCTCGCTAAACGTGAAGCATGGTTCCTTCCTATCATTTTTGGACATTTATTTGATTAGTTTTGTGATTGACTTTAACATTAAAAAAAAGTAGCGAAACTAATTTTTTTAATTATTATTTCCAAGATTGAGTCCACTGGCGGCTTTCCACCATCAAGCACAAGGTGCAAGTCTATTAAATTTTATTTACTTATTATAATGTACCTTCAAACAAATTTTTAGCTTTATATTTTGTTTTTAGTTTAAAAAGGCTAATTACCCTGTATTATAATTTTTTTTAATTCTGAAGAGATTATGTTAACGAAAATCAGTAAAGATAATTTTGTTTTTCTGAAAAACTCCCTTTATTCGTAAAACAAGGTAAAACTTCAACTTACACTTTTTATACAGTACTTTTTTCAGTAAGCGAGAATTTTTTTTGTTTTAAGGGGATTGAATGCGCCGTTTAAAATATATTGTAACGCACGTCGAACTATACAACCACCCAACAAGTTTTTACTAATAAAGATGCGAGGTTTGTCGCGATCATTGCATTGGGCTACTGTTGGGCCGGTTGGCATTAAAAAAAACACCATAAATTGATTAACTTTCTCGTTTTTTTCCAGTTTAAATTACATTTTTGTAATTTTTCGAGAACTTGTTTCTATTACCGGATTTCTGAAAAGATAGCGCCATTCGTCCTCATATTATAAATCGAATGCAAAAAAGAAGTTTTATATAACTTCAACTGTTAAAAAGTTACGTTGAAATTAAGAACGCAATGCATTCCTTGTTTCATTCATCTCATTCTCACTAAGGAATATTAATAGGGGAGGGAGAATAGAATGATAGACTGTGTTAGGTACTTCGCGCAGGAAAAAATATTTTGGCATTGAGGCGCATTCAATCCCCTTAAGGATTTCTGCCATACTATCAGTGAATGAAACAAAGCTAAGGCTATTTGCACACACACCGGTTTTGGACGGTCGGTAAAATATTGGCCGTCCACATTTCAACTGTGAACCATTGGGATGGCATGGAGCTTGCACACTAGCCGACCACAGACCAGCACCAGAAAAAAACCGGTGAGCAGCCGGTATGGCCACTGCGACTGCCGGCACCGAGCCGGTGCCGAGAATATAGTAGCGTATGTAGTCAAGTCAGAGCTTGCACACTCTTCATTGTTGACCGGCCGAGAGCGTCGTTCTTTCATTCACTGCGCAGACTTCAGCATAGGACTACAATAATATAAATGATAGGTAATTTGGTAGATACCAAGTAGATATCTACATTTGCATTGCTTGCAATGGATGACGGGATAGTTATAGACAATGATATACTTATTTCGCTAGAGGAAGCAAGACCAGTTCTATGGGATAAAAGTTTGGACACATTTGAGAACAGAAATGCTAAAAGAAATGCATGAAACCAGGACCAAGTTTGCTGCGAACTTATAGCTGATTTTGAGGAATCCATTTCAACTGGACTACGACAACCAGGCAAAACTGCTCGTTACGGCCGGTAAAAATCCGGCGTGTGTGTACAGCACCCCCAACGATAAAATATCGGCCGATATTGTACCGGCCGTCCAAAATCGGTATTGTATGTGCAAATAGCATAAGACATCAAGGAAGTTTTTGAAAAAAACCGCGATACTCCGCGATGCATAGTTTTCAAGATATCGTTCTCATCCATAAACGTATTGGGCATCAACGTGGAAAATAACATGTCTAATTGGCGTACCCACATCACCAAAATCGCGTAGACAGCAGCACAAAAGCTAGGAACACTTTATAGATCAAGGAAGTTGATATCTCATTTCAGCTTTTGCTGCTCTATAAGGCCCAGATAAGGCCATCCTTGGAATACTGCTCCTATACGTATATGGAGATCGGGATCCGCAAACACTTGCTCAAGGCGTTGGACTCGATACAAAAGGGAGCAGTCCGTCTTATCGATGACCCGGAGTTGACCAAAGACCTCCAAAGCCTTGAACATCGGTGAAAAGTGGCGGACCTATCACTTATTATCGATACTACTACGGAAGGTGTTCGAACGAGCTAGCACTTCTGATTTCGCCCAAAGTTGCACCAAACAGAAACACTCGTCAGGCACAAACAGCTCATCAACATACAGTTCAGTTATAAATACCTAAAACATCGCTGTTTCGAGACTCATTTTTCTGGAGGGCCGCCTCGCTCTAGAATGCACTTCAGAGTCACATCTTCCCCGAAAACTACAACCTCCAGCGTTTCAAAACCAATGTCCATCGACACCTCCACAAACACCCTGCTCGTTAAGTAATGTAGGACTTTCCTTTTGTGTGTGTGCCATATATGCCGACCATAAAAAAAACCTAATAAATGAATCAACAGTCATAACAGGTGGATTCCAGGATTCTGAACTTTGTTAAATTTGGAAGAATTAAAGAGTACTTAAAAAGAAGCTAATACTAGATTATTACCTTGGGGTGATATGAATAAAAACTGAGTTTAAACTCGGAGTATATACTCGTGAGCATGAGTATGAAGTCTGAGCTTATACTCCATTCCGTAAGAATAAAAAAGATTTCGGTTTGATAAGTACATACTCCTAGTACATAGAGCAGATACTCAACATTTTATTTTGCTTGCCACCGCTCTTTTGCCGCTTTTTCTTCCTCACAATCCGATGTCCACAGATACAGGTAAATTTATCACCTTTCCCTATCAAATAGCATTGAAATTTGATAAATTTTACCTGTACCTGTGGACATCGGATTGTGAATGGATCATATTATATTCGCAGGACTGCGGGGAAATTTGATCCACCGTTCACTTTGCTGAATTATCTTATCAGCTACTTCCGATACAACTTAAGACACCGAAGTTTGGTGAACACCAACATCCTCGCCTACTCCTGCCTGAAAGCCCGCGTCACCCACGTATCTTAAAAATATTTCAAACTTGTCTTTGTTGTATAAAATTGATTTGATAACCACTCCACATTTTCTTTACTAAACCGGTACAACGTTTTAAAGTCCCGATCACTATTTTTTCTAGCTTTGTGAAATTTTTTTAAACGCAGGTTAAAATTGAAGAACTCTGCCATAGCTCTGCCTTCTACCGAGGGAAAATCGGTACTGAAATAACTTGAAGCAGAAAGTTAAGTCAACTGCATAGTAGACTCTAAAACTATGGAGTAGATTCTCCTGCCGAAGAGCATAAACAATTTTTTATTCATACCAAAAGTGAGAATCTACTCATACCAAATTATACAGAGGAGTACCTACTCAAGCGAAATATCTGCTCGTAGTTTTTATCAAAGTTTTTATTCATACCACGTGGAGTATTTACTCCAAAATTTGAAGTAGAAACTAAATGCTCATTTTTATTCATACCACCTTATGTGCTAACAGAACTAAAATCAGTTAACACAATTCTGGTAAAATCTGTCGGATGTCCTAATACCTATTGCTTATTTATGTTTACTGCACAATACCAGCAACTCCCCAAAGTCTATTTATACAGTTAGGACATGGTAGAACTACATATTTTTTAATCAATACATGATATCTAGGTATTTGTAGTAGGAAATTTGGAAAAAGAAATTTGCAAGGATTAAAATGTTGGAGTGATTGCGAATATCCAAACTGTCGTAAGTTTGCGTATTTGCCCTCCCAAACCCGACGTGATTTTGCATGATGATTTGGAAGATTTTTTTTTCATACATAGGGTTTATAAAAAATACCCTATGCATTTTTCTGCTAATTATTGGGAAATTTTACACAACGAACCCTTGTTTTTTTGTGGTTAATTACAACACGTGTCCAATTTCCAAAACCAAGTTAATGAGAATAATCAGTGAAAAGCAAATATTTATGCTATTATTATTTAAAACCAAAGTTACAGATTTTATTAATTTTAATTTGCTCAAAAATATCATGAAAATGCACACAGGCTCAAAAAACAAGCAATCGAAACTAGTCGAAAGACGCGCGCTGCGCAGCTACCCGGAGTAGTGGACAGCCGGTAAAACTCTCAACTTTAAGTGACGATATCTTGAAAACTATGAGTCTCGGAGTA